ATCAAAGAGAATAAAGGGAAAAGAGGATAAAGGGAAAAGTTAATCAAGGCAAGTCAAAGATTAATATTTGAAGCTGATATCATAAATCCTACTGACAAGAAAACCAGATCTTACAGCAAAATCATTTTTGGTGACTGGTCCCCTTAAAATTGTACCTTTAAAAACAAGTGGCCAAAGTACTCAGTTTAAACTTGACACATGGCATCTACATTCTCTGTTTAACTTGTGTTAGTAACTGACCTAAAATTTCTTCTTTCATCCTTCTTACTTTCAATCAAGCTCCTACGTTACAGTGACTAATGGCTCTATGAAAAACACCTGTTGTGCATAACATGAGGCTAAGGGTTGCCATGGTTGCATAAGATCCATAATTATTAGTTAACAGTGTATCCTAAAGAATGTAAAGTACATTGTGCAGAATGTAGCTACCTTCTGCTTGTTATTAATATAAAAACTTATATAAATCATAGAAGGATGTTCAGCTCAGAAAGATGACAAATATTGAAACAAACAGTATGAATAAATGATGCTCTGATGTAAAAAATGGTGAATTTCACACAATATTCAAATATTATGTAATCCATACATGATACATACACATCTCCTCTGAATCACAGACCAACTTGGGGGGGGGGGGGGAGGGGCAGATGAAGAAAAAAAAGGGAAAATAGTGTAATTTCAGCAACATCTGTATCGAATCGAATCAGAAATAAACCATGTTTGAATCTTATTGGGAGGGGGAGGGGGGCATTGCCCCCCCCCCCATGGGCGTAGATCTGTAATTGATACCTATTGTTCGGGGGGGGGGGGTGATCTATTCATTCACCCCCCCCCTGAACAATAGGTATTACGTAAGGATTGACGCCCATGGTCCCCCCCCCTCCCCCCACCCCATCAGTACGCCAGTGACTTTATATAGAAGGGGCTAAAAGGGGGTCTTAGTCCAATTAATAGTCCTGGGCTATATAAAGCTTAGCCCACTTTCTTTTCGGACTCAAATTTAACAAGGTAGGCTAGCCCACAAAGATCGGGGTTATGATTAGGAAGAGTCCGCTAGGTTCGTCGGGTGCGGGAAAGAATGGTTTTACTTAGCCTACATCACTCTTCACGCATGGGTATGGATGCCCATTAAAGTTAGGTGATATCTATATTACATTTCACATTATCACGTAGCTAGTATGGGTTTCCGGAGGTAAAAATAGACTTACTGTTCTTCTTCATACATGAAAGACCTTGGTCGTTTCATGCTGAGTCCTGTGGTGTGCTCGTGTTCGCAAGGGTTCCCCTCCATTTTTCTGTTCCTATGTGGGTTTACCAATCACAGAGCAAAGTCTTACTTACCAGAAACATGTCAACCAATCAGATGGGACAACACACCTGTTGCAGCTCGCTCAGGCCATGTGGAGCTGTTGAGCAGCTCACGCTGGATTCGATCCATGGTTGGCCTATACTTTACCAGGGTCGAGTTAAAAGGGGGTAAATGCACGAACTTGTGTTTGTGTACATGCCCTGCATACCACAGTGGGTTGTGCTCTGTACATATTATCTTGGGACTAGTGTCCCCTCCACTTGTTCAAGTACCCCATCAAAATTGCCCCCTTTTCTATCTATTAGGTGCCCGTTCCAAATTCTTATAAGTGCCCAGTACCACCTCTGATAAGTGCCCCCTTTACCTCTAATAATTGCTCCTATTCAAATCTGAGAGGTGCCATATTTACTTTAAACAAGTTCCCTTTTTTTCTTTGTAAGAAGTGCCACGTATACCCTCCTTTTCCTTTTTCATAAGTAGTAAGCACATTTTTTTTTTTTTGGTACTCCAAAATTTTAAAATTTGCACCCCCCCCCTTGAGCGCCAGGGGGGGGGGGGGGGCCCAACCCCCCCAAAAGGTAAAAATCACATGATTTTTTTTCTCAAGGGGGGGGGGGGGGGCGGCCGGGCCCCCTGGCCCCCTGGATCCGCCACTGATTACACTAACTTCAAAGTATCTTGAACCAAGAAAAGAAACAAATGTTGAAATATTCCCTGATAGTGTAATCGCGGTGTAGGGGTATATGACATTAAAAACGTGAATTTTCGATTTTTGGTTTTCCTTTAGCAATTTGGATATAGCCTATATATATATATATATATATATATATATATATATATATATATATATATATATATATATATATATATATAATTATATATGTACGAGGCAGGTGCCCCTAATCTCCAGAAAGTGCCCCGTTTTTGTTGATGCCCCCCCCCCGTAAGAGTGCGTTGAACCCAGTATAGCACAAAATACTGGTTGCAGCTAATTAAGAACAAATTTGCTTTCACATTTATTTTCTCAAATCAATCAGTCGAGATTCAACGCTGTTATAGAAATCATACCTTTTCATATCTAATAAATCAGACATGGGTGTCGATCCGTAACTGATACCTATTCATCAGGGGGGGGGGGGTGATCTATTTATTCATCCCCCCCCCCCCCCCTGATGAATAGGTATTACGTAAGTATCGACACCCATGAAATCAGATGAATCAGATGTGTCGACCCCCGGGGTAGACCGAATTTTCCATCTCTTTCGTTCGTTAGCCTCTTATTGGGGTTGGTTCGGCTCTCTCTAAAAGAGGCGGCTCTCTCTAAAGAGAGAGCCGACCCTATCCCAAATAAGAGGCTAACGAACGAAAGAGACGGAAAATTCGGTCTAATGATGAGGATAATAATAATAAATAGATCCCTAGTGATAATAATAGACATATAAGAAGGGTAATCCATACAGAAAAAACAGGGAAATTAAAACAACATATGTAAGGAAACTTTTCAGCGAGTTTTGTTTATCTTTGTGGCAAGAAAATGTAAATCAAGCTTGAAATTCCGAATTCTTGTACTTGTATCAATTTTCGTCAAAAAATTGCCACAATGAATGACTCTGCGAAGAAAATTAAAGTCAAAGACACCATAGATTTCCTTCGCTAGCTGCGCTCGAACTTTGAGTCACAAATCAGGTATTTTCGCACGATAAATATGAAATTGCGGATAAGATGTGGTCAGAGAACTGAAAGGATTGACGTTGGCGATGAAGAAGCACAGGAAAAGACGCTTAAGCAACTTTCTTCTACCGTTGCTAATGCTCTTAGGTATGTTTAACTTTGATTCTTACTGCGTGATGGCAAGTGCAAGACAAAAAATAGACTAAGTTCACACACATTGCAATGGGACTCCACAGCGACCGAAAATCAGTCGTTGTATTCGCCGCGTCTGTAGGCCTAGCCTATAAAGCGGATATGGGGCATTCTATCGGGTAGGGTCAAAAATTGTGAAATAAAGGTGCAAAATTCAGAATTGGTAAATAATTCTTTTATTGTTATATCCTGTTTCTTTCACCAATCCTACAATATATTTCATTGCAATTGTATGTATTCCTTTGCACACTTTTATTTAAAATGAAAAAATAGACACAACAAAATATGGCGCTAGATCTAGACCTAGATCTAGATCTAATTCAGAATTGTATCCATACTTTGACTCGTGACTCCGGCGTGGAGGTACCCTGCTAAAGCGTACCAAACATCAACTAAATCTTCATCATTTGCTCAAATAATGGTCATGATTTAAAGGTCGTTATGTTTCTTAGTCTTACCTGTTTCGTCTCAATTTTCTTATCTTTTTTGGAGTATTTTTCCTAAAAACGCACCCCAATATCAGTACGGTATGCAATTGTACCATGCAGCAGTTTGCTGTGAATCCTGTGAGGAAGTGTATATTATAAGGAGAAAAGGACTTAATTTGTAATGTTGTTATTGTGTTTTTTCAATATGGGCTATAAACTTGCCAATTTTTTAGCACATTTCACTTTAGACCAAATTTTCTGTCTCTTTCGTTGTTAGCCTCTGATTTGGGTAGGGTCGGCTCCTCTCTTTAGAGACAGAAAAGATCCATATGCGCCAAGGTGTAGGTTAGGTGGGTAAATCAATGCACCAAACTTGGCAATACTACCTGCCAAATACCATGTTTCACAGGATGCATATCCGGTGCATCTTATTTTGAAAATTAGGTAAAGGCTTAACTTCTTCAGTTCCACTTACCAACTTGACTGAAATAATCACAAGCTATGAGTTTGTAATAACATACACAGTTTTTCCTTTATAATCATTTTGCCTTCGGAGTAGACTAGAAGAGATGAGATTTAGATGAGGTCATGCGCAGCGAGAGTTTAAAATATGGCTGCAAGATTTTCAACATGGATGTCGATTTTGACCCATAATTTCCTAAAAATGAACCATTAAACAGAACCATTAATTTTGTTTTCACTCAAAGGTATGTGTATTATATGTGTATACTGTTGTTAGTGAAAACATATTCCAAACCAAGAGACCCAGTCAAAAAATAACCAAATAACACAAAATAAGAAACAAAAAATAAATAAATAAATAAATACACAAGACAGAATACAAAGACAAGATATCATAGTGAAGTACAGATTTACAAATATTCTCTTGTTAATGCCTTTTCATTTCACCAACCTAGCAACATGCAATGTATGCAATTTGCACTATGACCTTGTAACAGGTGATTACAATGTTTAACATTGAATGAATTATAAAAAGAGAGTATTCTCAGAATTCCAGTCAATATCAATGGTCTATTATGCAGGAGCATTGTTAGCATACCATGGGTGATTTATGCAAATTAAGCCATCACATGGCATGAACAGGTGAATGGAATAGGCCAGTTAATCATTCTCTCATTTAAGTACATGAATGAGACAGACCAGTGCTTCTAAGTCATTTTGCCTGTTTAATGCTGTTGATTGGCACAATGGAACACTTTTTAAGAGGATGTACTCCAAAGCTTGACAAGCCTGGGTGAATATCCTCACATTTAAATGTGTAATTGAAATGTTTGGATGCTTGCATATATTTATGCGCTCTTCCATGATTTGAACAGAACATTTTTAGTTGGGCGTGTACTTAGACCATCTCTCTAAGTAATAGTATACTGGTAAAGGGCTGTGGCTTGTTGCATTGATGATGCATACTCATTCAGTCAAGTTTCGGCTACATCTTATACAACCTGTGCTTTAAGCATTGTGGAGGAGTTCAAACACAGATGTATTTAGAATTAGGAAGTGGATTCAAAAGTCCATCCTAGTGTAGTTTATAACCTACAACAGATGATAATAAGGATGTGATTTAGTCTACTATTTAGAGCAGGTAATTTGTTTTTCAGTTGAGCAGATTATCATAATTTTTGAAACACAAACATTCTTGCAGTGTACATTGATGATTACTTTTATTTTCTTACAGCTATATGATAAGTTGACATCTCTCTGTGATTTATTTTTTGTGTCTTTCCTGTATCAGATTAGAGCCTGGAAGCTTTGAGCTGAGCCTGAATGGGAGGGACCCAATCAACGGATCCCCAGATGATCTTCTAGAGACCTTTGGCATCGTGTCAGGTGACCTGATCAAAGTACTCGTCCAAAGCGAACCAGATCCAACATCCAACCAGAATGGGGCGATGTCAAGCAACGGTACAGGAGCCAATCCAAGAGGGGGGAGACCACGTCCTTATGCCCGCATCAATGGGAGCCTTGTCACTACCGGTGAATGCACCCCATCAGAGAGGAGACCGGAGCCTAGGGGTGCGGTATCTGAAGAGGAGAAAGGTAACCATGCCAATCCAGAGGATGAGATGAGTACAGAGGAAAAAGAAGCCAGGGAACAACTAGCTAAACTTGAAAGTGAAGCAGAAATGGGAGAAAAGATCTCGGAACCCATGCTTTGTAGGTAAGGAAAAAAAGGAAATATTTAACACTGATATTGAATGTGCTGTAAATCGGCACACATTGTACTCAATTGCACAAATACATATCAATACAATGCAATGTTTGATTCTGCAAAACTAGAATTTGTACTATTATGAACTAGGTTAAGAATGTTCATAACCTTCTGTTTGAATGTACATTGTTATTCAAAGAGGTTGCAGTTACTTTGGGATTTAAATTTTTTATTTATTTTTGCCTTTGAATATTTCCTCATTGATTTCCATGTAAGTCCCTACATTATGTGGACCCTTCATAATCACTTTCTCTTTGAAATTCTCTTCGGTACTATCCATGTCTTTGCCTTCAGAGATGCAGAAGGTGACAAGATTCCCTTGCGTTTGAAGGAGCTGTGTGAGGAGATCCAACCAGAGAACTCTGGTGATGCCTTGTGCCTAGTGCTTCATGTGCTCATGGTTGAAACTGGCTTTGCTGCCCAGGTAATAAAAAAAGTTGCCTTGAGATTTTGTCTGTGCTATAGATGACCAATGAAGTACTTCATTGTGTCACTAGAGCAATACGCTATGAATATGTTTTTTTTATCAGAATAGAAGGAGTAAAAGGTATTTGCAAAAAGATGATAATTCAAAAGTGTTGGTTATGTCAGCCCTTTTTGGTACAGTTGCTTGTAGAGTTTCCTGCATAAGATACTTTCAAACAAGGCCATGGGTGTCGATCCTTACGTAATACCTATTCATCAGGGGGGGATGAATGAATAGATCACCCCCCCCCCTGATGAATAGGTATCAGTTACTGATCGACACCCATGAACAAGGCAATTCTATTTTTAAACGATATCCATCAATATTTTTAACCAGACCTGCTTCGATTTTGCTTAAGATTTACACCTCAAAGCATGTGATAGAAGCCTGTACAAAAAGAATGTAAAATGAAAATTATCTCGTAGTCTGTTGAATGTCTCCAATTCATTGGTGTTTAGAAGATTAGAGCAAATCAAATCAAATGCCTTTCTGACTGTTATGTATATAGAACAACATAGTAGACATGCCAGGTGTTATGCACATACCAATGTAATACACATACCAGCCAGTGACAATAGGACAATAGATGGATACCTGAATAGCATACCATTACCACTATAGGAAGAATGTCACTGCTGTGAACTTCCAAGCCACTTCACTACCAGCAGCCAAGTAGAAAGGACACTCCCTTAACTCTCAGTAAAGCATTCATGTTATAGTGTATCAGAGATACAGCACTGACATACTTCTGTGTCTCTTCTGCTCCATTAATAGCAAGCCACAGGTTCTTCCAGCACAGACAAACCATCATCTACACTCATGGAAGGCACAGAGACAAGTGTGGAAGAGAACAAAGTCCTTGACCCAGACCCATTATCCACCTTGCCCCATGGTTGGAAGACAGGGACATCATACAAGCTGCCCTATCAACATGCAGAGTGTAGAGGGGCAGAGTGTACATTAGCTGGTGTTTCAATGGGAAAAGCGCTTCTAATTCATGGTAATAAAGGAGAGGTGGGGAGGGTGACAGTGAGGGGGACGGGGCTTATGCAGTGACATTCTTTTGGAGACTAATTTGCAGTGGGTAACCTGCTCTGGCAACAATCACTATGGTTTTATTTAGTCAAAGATAAGGTTTAGCGTTATGGCTGTAATTGGGTTTTAAGGTAGGGTTAGTTTTAGTTTACAGAGTATGGTTAGGGTTGGGTCCAGGGTTGAAATTAGATTGGTTATTGTAGAACAGACCATGGAGTATTAGTCACAGGAGCATCCGTTGCTCACGCATGTGTGTGTGTATGTGTAATTGGGTTTTTATAGACGTGTATTAATCAGATATGATTATTCACGTCTGAGGACCGACTTTTAACGTCACCATCCAAAAGACGTGACTCAGTTTTAAACCTGCATCCTTGGCTGAATCAGTTTATAACTTCCATTGTTAGCTGGATTACAGGCGCACGCCACAATGCCCCGTCCTAACCTTATGGAATAGCCTTCCTTGAAGACATCACAAAGTGTATAGCCTCCGATTCCTTTAAATCCTGTGCAAGCGCCTTGAGCACTCCACAGAGTGGATTTGATGCTTTATAAGCCATATTCATTATTATTATTATTGTACATTTTCCCCATACTACAGGTCTAATTGGGAAAAACATTCATGCCACTATGCAGCTAAAACCAGCCATGTATGCTTCGCTTGTGGATAGTATGTCTCAAGTTTCCTTTACCAGTCTTGCCTTTTTGTCCAGGAACTTTAAAGACACCATAGCTTACCCTCTCCTGGCTGCTATGAGAGCAGGTAAGATAACATTTTACAATGATTCGCAGTGATTTGTAACAATTCTTTTGTGATCTATGATTTTAAGGGAAACTTTAGGAGAATTGTAGTATTATATAATGGCAGCTCTAATGTAATATGAGCCAAGAACGCCAATTGCCCAGAAAAAAGGACTACACTTGTTTAGCTTACTATTGGCAGTCCATCGTTAACGATGATGACTTGATAAAACCCTTTAGTGCTTCCTTGCATTTTCTATGGAAAGTATAGCAAATAAACACAAATGAGCCATATTTTTTTTCCATACATGAAATTATGTATTTAGACATATATTTGTTGCTTTGAGTTCTGCATTTTTCAAGCATTTTAGAGATTGGTAGACTGTATTTTTGTACGATTCATTTTTATTACTTTTGCCTATGGATTATGAAATACAGGTAATTTGTGATACAGAGAAATGTAATTCAGCATAAATAATTATCGTGATTCTACCAACTTAGTAGGCAAGCTTTCATCCACTTTTGTGGCCTTTCTCAAGTAAAATGATTCCTCACTCAGCCTGAATTACATTTTTAATGTTCATGTGCAGATTTCTATTAAAAAAGTAACCTTACGATTAAATTGATTTGAAACTGAACCACCTCTTCTGTTCTTTCAGAACTTGGTCTTCCTCCATTGCATGGCCTTCCAGCTCTCTTTCCAGAAATACAAGTATGTAGTAAACTCTTATTCATCCCTTCTCTGTAGATTTGTTCAACCGGACCATAAATGCTTAAAAACACCCTGTTGACTCTATAATACTATGCCCCCTTTTTGTAAAATCGATTTCTAGTCCTATCTTAACCAATGGTTGCCAGACTTCTAGGCAAAACAGGTGTTTTTCCCCACAATAATAGTACATGAAACTGACGTTATAAACATCTTTTATTCAGAAATCAATCTTGTTTTATTTGTGGGACAAATAGATTTAATTTAATGTGTTTTGGGTTTACAGCTGAAGATCTTAAGTTTTCTGGATCTCCCTGAGCTGGTCACAATGTCAACCTCTTGTCAACATTTCCATAGTCTAATCAGTGACCCTTCCCTCTGGAGGCAGCTCCTGCTGAGAGACTTTGGAGGCAAAGGCACAGACAGGCACTGCAATTGGAAAAATGTAAGTGAAGGTCAGATCACGATGATAGTACGGCTGAAACACTCTGGAATCACTCTGGAATCACTCTGGAATCACATGCTTTACAGTCGATATCATATCCTGTAAAAGTCGAGTAAATTATGAAAGGTCTTTGCTCATGGTGTAACATACCATGCTAGTGAGTTTTGTAATTTCCAAGATCTCAGGCTGTGGTCTTTGAATTTTTGGAAAGGAAAGTTGACGTCAACTTTATAGACTACCTTGTTTTCTTACATGAAAATGAGAAAAATTATATAAATGATTTAGATTTATTTTCCCATTACCTGTAAAAATCTGACATATGATTGGGGCATAATTAATATTTGCCTTAGACTCGCCCTTCATCAAAGAAAAAAACTTTTGAAATATCTCTTCCATGAAGCTTCCAAACACTTGTAAACAATTTCATTGAATTGCAGGTATACAAAGAGAGATATCGCTTAAAGAAGGTGAGGGAACAGCTCAGAAATCGCATCCAGAATTCTTTCTACCCTCCTGGTCGACGCCCCTTTGCCTTTGTACCTCCAGTACCACTCCCTCTACCAGGCATCTATCCCCCTGGCTACAGGTAAGCATGTGCTTCTTGACTGTCCTCTTTGGTATGTTTTTTCTTTGGTGAAGGCCCCTTCGCCTCTACCTCCTATACCCCACTCCCTAATGATATAGAAATGTTTGCTATATTGCTATCTATTAATTGATGCTCATTTGCCTTTTTACCTCGTATCTCAACCTCTACATATATGTCTTCAAGAGATAAGGGAAATACACGTATGGCATCAAAGTTACTCTCAATTTAATTTCTTGCTCATGGCCCACTTAGTAAAATTTGATGTAGAATCAACTTCATAGAGATACTATGATATGTAAAAGAAATTAACTTATTTTTTCATTTGTGATAAATCTATTCCAAGGCTGTGTCAATCACTCTTTGTGAAACGTTGGGAGTAAATATTGCTGGACGGGAAACTTTAAAAGCTAATATTTCTAGTTTTTGTTGTTATTTTAATTTTTACAACCATAGTTCACTTCCAGTAGATTGTATCAGTATTGGATATTGCTCTTTCTTATATCTTTTACAGAGGAGGTGACTATGACATCAACCCGTTTCGTTCAGGTGGTGCTCTTCCAGGTTATCCACCCTCAGGTAAGCTTAACATCTAACATTGAGTTCAAACTTGAGAATAACATTTCCAAGGTTTGGTAATGGTAACATTGAGTTCTGGTTATGCAATTGTGGAAGAAACTGTCAAGAAAAGTTTTACTCATATATCGATATATACTGAGAGGTTTTCAAATGATCAAAGAGAAAATAAGTGACTCAATGTTGATAAAAACCACATGCACTGCATACAGAAATGCACATATGGGACTACACATACATGTGATGTGGCATGAAGTTTGGTCCAAACTCTTATGAGGGCATTAAGCGCTTAATAGATATAATGTATTATTATTATTTGAAATGCAATCCTTGCTAGGTGACATTTCTGCTATGATATTCTTCCAAAGTGACTTGTAAAGAATGAGAAAACTTATAATTTATTTTTCATCTTTACTAAAATTTGACTCTTTCTTCAATTACTGGAATGATTTGACTGGATAACAAGTTCAAGGGAAAAAAAGTATCTTAGAAAGAGAAATACTAATGATACTAATTTTGTCTCCCTAATGAAATTGATTGTGACCATATAATGTCAAACTGCAGACAAATGTTTTGTTCCTCCCAATCGCTACAATCTTTTCTATGATTTAGACTGAAACAAGAGACTTTTAAAATGTTTTGAGTATATAGAACAATTTTGTTCGGTTGAAAAAAGTTTATTGTGGTAGGCCACGTTTTTTTTTATAGTGGGTAGAGAGTTAATTTGTGAAATTATTTCTTGGAAGAATATATATATATAAGCAGAGCTGCCAACCTCCAGAACAGAAAATCAGTAATCACAAGGCTCAAAATCAGTAATTTGGGGTATAAATCAGTAATTTCTTATGCGGCGCTATGAATCTAAAAAAACGACACGCCAACACTGCGCGGACGCATGATTATCTGAAATTTTTGGTGATTTTACTCACACAAAGATGTTAAGTATTGAATTTCAGGTCATCACAACACAGTTTATCATGAAAAATTGCTCCTATTCACAGCACTCGCTATGATAAATCAAAAAAAAATCCGTAATTTGAGACAACATTCCGTAATGGTCGTTAATTTCCGTACCAATTACGGAAAATCCGTACTAGTTGGCAGCTCTGTATAAGGGTTATTATGAACAAAATATGAAGAAATGAAAGGGCAGTGGATGTATAGGGACATTCCCAATTGTGATGTTTTCAAGGGAATGATAAGATGTAATAGCATTTGATTTCTTGGTTACTACTTGTATCGTCCATCATTTTGTCTTCATTTCATCCCACTCCAGTCTTCCAGCCTATCCCAGGCCCTCGTCACGACCCCATCTTCCCCAACCCAGATGCAAACCTCAGACCTGGTCACGGTGGAGGACTCATAGACCTTGAGACGGGGAGACCACACCCTTACGCCCCTCAGCCACCTCGGGGATTCCCTGGGATGCCCGGGAGGAGGACTGATGGTCGATTCCCCGGTGGTGCAGGTGGGATGAGAACCTTCTTCAGGTGATGAGGAGCAGGCATCTTCATGGCAACGTTGAGATGGAAGCATCATTACACGGTGGTGGAAGGCATGAGCTATCGTGACACGCCTTCAAGAAGCATCGATCATGGGTAAATTGATGTAAAGATCAATGGAAGCGTGTTATCAACTCAATGTAGTTTCTGGAGGTGATGATAACTATAAATTGATCATCATCTATGTTCTGAAGTGAATTATGAAGTCGGGAGAGTATTACAGTAATCATTTCATGCTTAATCTGACATATTGTTTCTGTTTTGAACATGATTTTGAGATAGAATATATGTGGATTTATATGCTTGACATACCATTCGTCCAGTGAATGAGTGTCAGAATTCAAACCATAGACTACAGGGTTTTGATTGGAGCAATTGTTGCAGGAGAGAATGTTGGATTACCTGAATATCAATGGATAAATTCATCATTCTTTATAAAAGAATAAGGTCTTGGGTAGAAGTGCACTGTGTCAAAAGATTTATGTGCATTAAAACTGTTCTTATATTTAACTTTTAAAATGGATGATCCAAATTTTTCACAATCTGAGACTCATTATTTTTTTTAATTTTCCTTTTTGCTAGGAGGGGGGGGGGGGGGGGGGGGGGGGGATAAGACCTCATTTCTAACTAAATAATTTTCAAGGCTAAAATTCTTTTCAACAGCCTCCATGAATTTATGACGCACATGTTCTTGTCATTTATACAAAAAAATACTCTAAAAGCGCTTTACTGTACCTTCGCTCCACAGTATCCCGCCTTTCTGAAAAGGTCGAGGTTCCTTCTTTTTACAAATTCAACAATTTGGAGCTGCTCCTTCTTCCTGTAATTCAGCTGCCTTTTTCTTGGTTGTTTCTGACAAAAGAATATGAAAAAAAAGATGTGTAGATCTATATTAACTAAGTTTTAAAAATCAAACAAAACACAAAAGCTTACATTATTTAATACAAACTGATTATTTTTTTATCATAGAGGATTAATAAATTCTTTTCTTGTTCTAACATCATATTAATTCCAACATGATATACCATTTGCTCAAAAAGGCTTGGTTGTTTATTCATCTTTATTCAAGAAAGTACATATAACATAGTAATAAAGTTGTTACATAAAACCCAGTTCCGAGATTTGAATTACATTGGATGCATCTCATGCAGGGTTAAACAACTACAATACACAATAACGAAACAGAAAAGAGAACATCATAAAGTCAATAATTCCTAACAAAAAAAAACAACAACATTATTTTCTTAGTTAGGAATACCTCACTATACATTTATATACAGTGGTCATATAACTAAAAATGCAGCAATGTGTAAAGAAAAATACATGGATTAAGTGAAAGCACTTTAATAAGTCAAGGTTTCATACTAAAATCAAAATGGAGAATACATGGCGAGCAACCACCATCTTGAATTGCATGTCATGAGGTCTAAGTTATAATCGACTTACATTGCATGATGTAGTATATCTAAGATGATATTACTCTTATTGGATTCATATTTATAGTAAATATTACCTCATCTGCATTTTGGGCAATATATTAATTTCAACTAGATCTAGACTATACTTTTAAAGTCTTGAATCGATTAAAAAAGAGATATATTAATCAACTATAAAATATAGATTATATTTAGTATATCTCATTTTCCTTTGTTCACCATTCAAGAATGTATCTTAGCATGATTGGGTGTCTTTTCACTGGGTATTGTCCTATTTGTGTTAACATGCGGATTAAGAGAATAGCATTTCTCTGCTCTACAGTTTACACATCCTTGCGTCCTCCAAGAATTTCACTCTCTGACTGGACATAAAATGGCTAAATAAGACCTACTGTAAGATTGTTGGTAAATGACGGGCCTTTGGATTGATGCTGCCTCTTGGACAATTCCTTGCCCTTGAGCCTGTTGACGGATTGACACCGGCAAAACACCTGCAGATACGGTCATGAATAATAAGTATAATTATTAGCTTAATTTCTTGCGAACATATAATAGAATATAGAAATGGAGTAAAAGGGTAAAGCCTAAGAAGGCCACGATACCAGTAAGACTAAGAGGCCAAGCTCCCACCAGTTTATTAAGAAATATACATAATTAAACAAACCAAACAAATGTTTCATCAAAATTAGACCATAGATTAAAGAAATTTAAATCTTTGCATTTGTGGAAAAAATGGTTACCTGTACCAATCACAATTCAAAGTGCATATGAGCCAAATTTCAAAGACAAAACCAATGATGCTCTATCCATACACACCAAGTCCAGCTTTGGTACCAGGTAAAAATGTCAGAGGTAATCCCGTGTTGGCGAAATGAATCAAATATATGCACCTTGTACGTTGAAATCCCCCTTGTGACCTAACATTAGATCTAGTCGTAGTCTATGCATCAAACTTACAGTTAAAATCCAGGATATGAAGATAAGAAACCGCCTTTAGCCTACACCACTTCATCAACGTTCAAACTTCAATTAAGTGAGATCTTGCAGCACTTCAGTTCTGCTTTGTCAACACTCCTGCAGGCTGCACTGGAATATGCCAGTTCATAGTTGCAGTCTGAGAATATATGAGCGGATAAAGGTCATTAAAGACCAAATTGTGAAAAAATTGTGAAAAAGAACAGCACCTCCATTCCAACAGCAAGATTTCCGAGGCGTTTCTCTCTACTCCGGTCAACGGTCTCCTTCACCCCCCTCCACTTGTTCACGATCCACTCGATAGATACTCGATAGAATAGAAAGTATTGGAAGAAATACCATACTCTAGGATGCATAATTTCAGCATTCCGGCCATGACAAAAAATCACCGCCCTTACCGAGGGCGTATTCACTCAAGCATTCACTATAGCATGGCCTATAGCATATAACCATTATATTCACCAGTACTTCATTTCATACAAAACGCAAAGGCCTTTCCCATAAAAAAATCTAAGACAACAAATCAAGCACTGAAAGCAAATTTAAATACAAATTAATGGTTAAAATAATAGTACCATGGATAATGATATGTATCATCGTAATGAAAGGAGCATCGGCATATTAGTTTCCAGATCACTTATGCTTGAAAAAAACCTTTGTAGCTCGCGAAATCAATATTGTTCAATAAAAATACCAATGCAACCAGTTCTTTTTTAAAACAAAAACAAAATGTTTACTGCTTGTCGTGTCGCCATCGTCTGTTCTATTCTGTGAGTTAATTGCTGTCACGCATTCCTTCCATATTGCTGCATTGTTTCCCCCTTCTGATGGGCAGATATCAAAGACGGCCTCCTTGATGGCCTTGATGAGTAGCAGGGCCATTGCAGATCCTTTCCTCCCCGTGACATTGCTGCCCACTCGCTCGCGCTCGAGGAATAGCATACCCGTTAGGCGCCTTGAGACTTCTCGATGACAGGGGGCGAATCTTAGCACCTGGGACTTCGCCTCGTCGATTAGCTCAACACGTCCTTCTTCGGTCACGAGCGTGCCTATGTTATCTGTTTCTGTGTGCGCCACGGTTGGTGCTGTCTGTGTAAAGTTCTCCTTCCACCTACGCAGGCCACGTAGTTCTGCTTCCATCCTGTCTAGATGGGCCTCCTGCGCAAGAAACCTTGTTTGTGATATGGTGATGATGTCAGGCTCTCCGTCGTCGGGTTCGCTTCTTGAACTAACGTCCATTGCTTTGTCACCTAGTGATGGTTCTTCCCCTGGTTCCTTGGGTGCTGTTGGGATCTCCTGCCATTTCGCTCAGCTCTCTGATGAGCGATGCTATGTCGAAGCCTTGATTTATCATGCTGGTTGATGAGCTGGTACACATCACAAAGTCATGGAACATATTCATAACTCCTGCAAAGTTCTACAGAAGTTGGTGTTAGCTGCAAAACGGACATAGTAATAATGATAATACATCATGGTTTTATTATGTCAAAGGCCTTGGAAAAGTCCAGGAAAATACCAACCATATGAGAGGATTTGTCAATAGCATGAGCTATTTTCTCCCCAAAAGATAATAAAGCAGGAACGGTACTATGCTTTCCCCTAAAACCAAATTGAAAATTAGAGAACACATTATATTTTAGGAAGGCAACTGTTCTAATATATATGATTTTCTCCAAGATCTTTGAGAAAGAAGATAACAAGGCGATCGGTCGATAGTTGTTTACATTTAGTTTTCCCCCTTTTTTAAATAAAGGAATAACTTTGGCGATTTTCATATAGAGTTGGGAATTTGCCTGTGTAACAAAGACAAATTAAATATATGAACCAGGGGATCTATGACTACTAACAATGGAATAATGGCTTTAAGGATAACATTATTGATATCATCGTAGCCAGAACTTTTCTTGTCTGGGTTTGAAACAAAGTCACCTTAGATCTGCTATTACTACGTTCATAGTGAAACTCGTCGGAGGGTGTCCTTGCTCTCGATATGCCTTCAGGTTGTGGGTATTCACTTGGGCATTCAAGGCAAAGCCGGACTCATCTCCAATGAGGAAGTCATCCAGGAAGCGGGCAGGTCTTTGAAGCAGCCACTGACAAAACCTTAAGCGACGCACAGTATTGTGCAGCGGTTTGTAGTTAAACCTGTGAGAAAGTGTATATTATAATGTCATCATTGTTACGACTTTGAAATCATGAGCATTATACAAACAATTGTTGAAGATTCAGTTGATTGCCACTGGCCCAATGCTGAGCGATGTGCTTCCGACGGTGAACGGATAACCCGTGGCGGCCCATGAAGCAGTAAGCCCATGAAGCACTTGCTTTAAAGTCAGCAATGCCGGCTTCTCTCGCCTTCAACCTCGAGATGACAAGACGCCATGTGGGTCGCCTCCAGTTCGGGTCACTTCGCTGTCTTCCCTGTCGGAAACTCTTCTGTGCGAGACATCTCTCCTACCTTTGCCTTGATACCTTTGTTCCCTGCACAGATAAACTTGAATAAAACACTGTCAAAGCTTTGGTCTTGGGCATCTCCTCCAGTCTTGGCTGCGCAGAGCGCCATCGTCGAATGTTGGACTCCGAGACATCAAACCTCCTTCCAGCCTCTCGGTTCCCATGATCCTCTGCATAATTGAAGACGAAAATCTTGAATGATGAAATAATCTTGATCCTTGACACATGTTACTGGGATTGAGGGTAGGGGAGACTTCTGTTTAATTGTGTGACCCAAGCCAGACTGCTGGCAGAGCTGGCATGTGGTGACATATTAGTTGATGTCTGCTGTCATGCCCTTCCAGTAGTAGTTTTTGGTGGTTTTGGACCATGTCCGGTTGCTTCCAAAGTACCCTTTATGAATATGAATAATATATATATATTGATCACAAAAATTGGTAGCTTTAATCAAATAATACAACAAAAATTTTCCTGGTTAATCACTCGGGTCTTATATCCCCTTTAGCCGTTTGATTAGAGATGGGGTGACTCGTTTTGCTTTCAGCACAACGCCAAAATCACTCTGTTTAAAAGAAAATCTAAATTCAGGTTCTGGTTGAAAAAGGCTGGCGAAAGAATCCGTTCTTCTACTTAATGTAAAAATAGGTTAACTGGATGTTTAACGTGATTAACAAAGCCTCTTAACAATCCCACTTCCACTACCCCCTGGAGTGGGTGGGCTCCTAAATAGAGC